GCCAATTTTGGTTAACCCTCAGGGCTCAGGTGTTTCGCCCAGGAGAAGCTAGGAAGGTGGTCTGGAGAAAGACGACCTGCCCCAGTTGCTCCCACAGTAGATTGCTCTCCCCATTTTGCAGATTTCAAAAAAGAAATAACTAAATAGGGTAATTTAAATAACATATCCCATTTTACACCCAGTTCTTTGTCTCCAGTCTCTTTATTTCCCAGATGGGTCAGCAAATTCACAGTACAAAACTGTGCTCTATTTCTTTTATATAGACGCGTGCACACACACACACACACACATCAGCAGCCAATCATCTATTGAATGGAAACATCCAAATAAAAGTTTAATTTGCTAAGCATGAGCTAGCTTCTTCCTTGGTGTTTTAAAATGTGCTAGAATATGTCCTGCTAATTCTTACATTCTCTTAGGTACATTAATAGAAGTTATGTATGTATGCACAGCAAGATGTGAATATACAAAACATAAAGTGTTCATTGCAGGAAATGAGGAAGTTTTTATGCATAGTGTTATATCAACAGCAGCAACACATAACATTATTCAGACAGGCAAAGATATTTTTAGTGCCTTTACGCATGCTAGGTTGCTTTGCCCAGACAGTGAAGCAATGTTGTGTTTATGTGGGTTTGTACCGTTCAACTATCAAGTTGATTTAAACCTTTATAACAAAGCTTTGGCCTGAGAGAGATGGAAAAACAGCATTTTAAGCATGTTAGCTTTAAAGAGAGCTGTAGGAACAAGTGTACAAAAAGCTCTTGAAAATGGTGTTGCAAATAACATGACTGTTAGTTCCACACAAACAGTGCAGCAACAAATAGGGAGCTGATTTATGATGAAATCTCAATAATGTAGTGCTGAACATACATTGCCAGGGGATATGGGAAGAGAAGAAAACTGGCCAGGAAATATGATTCTGTGAGTCTATAAGGTTAGATGCAAGAAGTACTGCAAAGAAAATCTGATTGAATTATGAAAATTCTGCTTAGAGCAGATTATTTATTTTATAACCCAACTTTCTCCTAATGTGGACCCTAGGCAGCTCACAATGTAAGTGAAAACAAAATTCAGTTGAAACAATGAACCATACAAAAGTTTTAAAACATTAAATAAACAATCACATTAAACATATTAGGCTGAGACCCTGCATGAGAGATCTAGCTACGATGATGTAGCTATGATCCATCTCTTGATCCAGCTTCTAAAATCCATCTTAAAAGCCAGGCAGCTGCACCAACCAAAGGAGTTATGCAGCTCTGGTAAGAAGGACATAGAAGGATGATGCACCCATCCCTCCTCATTGCATTGCAGCTCAATGGAATAAGGAGACTGGATGCATCATTCTTCAGCAACCTGTTTACCAGCACCACAGAGGTCCTTTACTTGGTGCAGCTGCCTGGCTTTTAAGGTTTATGGGGACATGCTGCAGTCATGGCAGTGGTGCCAAATCATAAATGTGAATAGCAAAAATTATGTGGTCATATGTCTAGCTTATAACATCTTATATATTGAACAGGATGTTTACCATTAATTTAAAACAGTTTAAAAGGCAGTTAAAACATGAAGATAATAATGTTGATAAAAATACAGCACAGCCAAATTAAAATACCTTCTGCAATGGCCAGATGACAGTCAAAGGTGGAGAAACAAAAAGATCTTTGTTAGTGAAAGGACAGCAGAAAGAGGCCAACCTAGCCTTCTGTAAGTACGAAGTCCACAGCCTAGGAGCAATCACCAAGAAATCCCCCTCATATCTTCTTACCAAATGTGCTTGTGGTGGCAACCTAAACCCAGGGGCCGGATGCGGCCCCCTGAGGCCTTTGGACCGGCCCCAGGCCAGTCCTGCCGCCACTGCCGCCCGCCATGATGATATTGATTATTATTGTTATTACTTGTTCTTGGGGTTTTCTTAGCAAAATTTCCACAGGGGTTTTGCCATCATGGCTTTTCTGGGACTGAGACAGTATGCATGCATCCCTGCTTGTTTGTGGGTCTGCCTTCCAGTTGTTTCTATGATGATAATGATTATTGTTGTTATTACTTGTTCTTGGGGTTTTCTTGGCAAAATCTCCACTGGGGTTTTGCCATGACTTTTCTGGGGCTGAGAGAGTGTGCATGCATATTTTTTACATTTTTTAAAATTGTTTAATATTTATTCATTTATTTATTGTGCTTTGGCCCCCCAATTGTCTGAGGGACAGCAACCTGGCCCCAGGCTCAAAAAGGTTGCCTACCCCTGGAATAGAGTATGGTTCACATGTGTATGAATCATATAGCGATGGTAAAGACCACATCCAGTCCAACCCCTGCCATGTAGGAAATACACAATCAAAGCACTCCCAACAGATAGCCATCCAGAATCTGTTTAAAAACCTCAGAAGAAGGAGACTCCACCACATTCTGAGGAAGTGTAATCCACTGTCAAACAGTTCTTACTGTCATCAAGTTCTTCCTAATGTTGAGGTGGAATCTCTTTTCCAGTAGTATGAATCCATTGCTCCATATCCTAGTCTCCGGAGCAGCAGAAAACAAGCTTGCTTCATCCTCAACATGACATTCCTTCAAATATTTTAAAAGGGCTAACATATTACTTCTTAACTTTCTCTTCTCCAGGCTAAATATACCCAGCTTCCTAAGTCTCTCCTCATAGGGCATGGTTTCTCAACCCGTTGCCATTTTGGTCACCCTCCTCTGGAGCTTCACAACATCCCTTTTGAACTGTGGTGCCCAGTACTGGATGTGGTAGACTTTTAAAGAAAATAAACTGTTATCCGCATAAACTGGTTGCAAGATGCAAGTTCTACAACAGCAACAAAAATCCTCTGTCAGGCTTATAAATTGCTACTTGTCAAGTTGCCTGCAGTGTGGAAAATGAAAGGATTCTGAACTGTTCTGCAAAGCCAGGCTCAGAAACAGATTTTAAGTGCTGTTAGGTTGGAAAGGAGCTTTTAGTACAGGGATGGAAATCATGAGATCCTCCTGACGTTGTTGGACTTAAAGTGCCTGCATTCCTCACTATTGGCTGGGCTGACTAGAGACCAGAAATCCAACAATATCTGGAGGAGTCTGTGATTCCCAACCATGTTTCACAGCCTTGAAATTCTTCGCTAGATCAGATTGAATAAATAAATGTAAAATGAATATGTCTTCTGATGGAATTGTTCCAGCATTGTTGTTAAATTGTCTGAAATCAACCACTTGCAATACCTCTGAAAAGAAATGACAGGTAATCCTCCTGTAGATGTGAAAAAATCAAGAAGATGGTCTGAAGTTTTAAAAAAAATTGAGCATTTCTTTATATAAAAATTATAAAATCCTATTATTTGAATTTATCTAGTGGATTCAGAGTTTACAATGTTACATTTCTTTTCCTTTTTTAAATGAGTAATGCAGAAGAAATACCAAAACGTTTACTGGTTTATTTATATCCCAGTGAAAACTAGGGAATAATTTTGATTTATGTCCAGCAATGATCTTTTCATATACTCATAAAAAATATGATTGTACTAAACTAAAGAAATTGAAGCAAATACATTAATTCACACAAATTGAAGTTATGCTGGAGATATAAAGTGTTAGTAGGAGACACAATATTTTAAATATAGGCAGTATCTTGAAAAGAGACCTTGGATTGCCCTTCCATGTGATGTACATTTTTCACACAGACAAGGAATGGTGTTGCATTTCAACAGGTTAACTGACAATAATTTCTCTCACTCATGGCAGACCTGTACAAAGCATGTCCCACCTAGGATGACCCATGTGATACTTTATCACACCTTTATTTTTGCAACTCCAAGCAAGCAAAAATTTAAAAAGGTTTTGTATTTGTTTCTACTGTTTGCAATTGATTTATTCATTTTCCTCATTGTAGAATGCAGATACAAAACAAAGTTAATATGTATTTGTCATTTTCTTTACTACATATATTCTTTTTAATTTAGCTGGGCTTTATTCAGGCTGACTGGCTCTTTAGGTTTTTAGAATTACACAGTAGGGATCTTTCACAACATAAGATAACCTTTTTGGCATACTGAAATCTGCAGAATAATTTGAGGGCTACTCCTATCTTCTTCAAATAGTTGTTATGAATATTATTATAAATAATATGTGCTGGCATTCAACCTGGGATTTATTTCCTTATAAATGGCCTTACTTGTGCACAAAACTGAATTGAGTAGTTTCACAATGTCTGTATTCACCTGCCTATATTGCTGTCACATTACATTGTACAGGCATCTGTTGCACAGTGATAGCCAGTGGAGTGACTGATACATCATGGCCTGATGCACAATGGACAATTCACACTGGAGTGCTCCCCAGTCTGCATCCAGACACCATCTAGGAAGTGCCAGTGTACAACAGGAGTATCTGATGCATATCACAAGTGCCCAGTGTGCATGAGACATTCCCAATGTATATCAGAAGTTCCCAGTGCACATCAGAGCACTCTTGTTGATGCCCAGATGCCCATCTTCATAATTCAGTAATAGGATTTTGTTGCATTTCTGCAGAGTAGCAGTTGTTGTTGTGCCTTCATGTTGTTTCTGATATATGGTGACCCTAAAGGAAACCTGTTGCAGGGTTTTCTTGGCAAGTGGGTTTGCCATTTCTTTTCTCTGACGCTGAGAAAGTGTGACTTGCTCAGGGCTACCCTGCAGATTTCTGTGGCTGAAAGGGGATTCAAACCCTGTTCTTCTGAAGTCCTAGTTCAACAGTCAAACCACTACACTAGACTGGCTCCCACATTCATAAAGTTATGAAACATAAACTGTGATATAAGATCTCAGCCATAATCTTTTGTCAGATTTTATGTCCTCATTCATGATACTATTAATTGTTGTTGTTGATGATGATGTTGTTGTGTGCCTCCAAGTCATTTCCAACTTATGGCATGGGGTTTTCTTGGCAGGAGTTGTTTAGAGGAGGTTTGCTATTGTCTACCCCTGAGGCTGAGAGAGTGTGACTTGGCCAAGGTCACCCAGTGGGTTTCATGGCCAAGCAGGGAATCAAACCCTGGTCTCCAGAATTGTAGTCCAACATTCAAAACCACTACAACACACTGACTCTCAATACTATTGTAGTCAGTTGCTAATTATCAGTATCCTCCTATAACTTTTCATAATCTTTTCTCCTTACATTGTTCTCAAAAATTATAGGGTTGCACCTTCACCTGTAATTTATAGTTCCAAAGCATAACCACCCACCCACCCACAAAAAAGAAACCCAGATCATTTTCCAATAAAATGTTTGTTTCCTTACATACACTCTCCATAGCTAATGACATTTGTGAGTTTCAGCATGAATATCACTCCCCAGACTTTTCTCAGGCCTTCTTTTATTGATAGGATGTCTCTTTGCATCAATTTATAACTGATTGCAGTTCTAGCAGCCATATATTCTGGCCTGACAAGTACTTAATTTTGACCTGCCATTCTTTTGCAACCCCAAGCTGGGCTACAATTAAGTATGGTTGATGGATGGTATTTGGCTTGGTGGATCAAAAAATGTACAGACTTACTGCGAAATTGACAGATGTTCTGGGAAAAGGACAGCAGGTCTGAAGACAGTTAAGAAACACACGACCACAACAGTTTATTTTTAGGCAAAAAGGCAGAAAAACAGAAAAAGAATGCCTAATATTAGATCATGCTTCCTGTCTTTCAAGATCAACAGGCCAGTTTTGAAATAGTTTTAGGAACTGTATGGTCCCACAGAGAATTGCTGGATTCTTAAATTATAGTGAGTGTTTATTGTGAATTTCTGTGATGCTGAACCATTGAAAAGGGTGTGTTTTCTATCAACTTCTTCATCTCCAGAAAATCTGATTTTATTTTTTTGCATGAATCTACCACCTTGATTGTTCGCTGTTATTTTTCAGTGGATTGCCATTTGAGATAGCCAGCTGCAAAGAGCAGATAGCAGCTTTCTGTCAGTTTCTTTGTCCTTCATGCACATAGCATTTTCATCAGTAAAGCTAATAGTGCAGGACTGAACCCAAATGTAAAGGCCTAAGTATAATTCTCTCTCTCTCTCTCTCTCTCTCTCTCTTTTCTCTTTCAAAAAGCTTTACATTACAAAAATTCTGAAAGAACAGGTCTTGGCTCTTACACTTACATCACCCTTAGATTAAGGCTTCTGATGGAAGGCAGACCCAGGCACCCCCACCCAAGCCATATAACTTTTGTTGTTGTTGTTTTTAATCTTTATTAATGTTTATTAAAGTATATAAACTTTGAAATAAACTTCCCCCACCTAGAGTTATACTGTACATACATGTCTTCCTTTAGTCTTCTGCCAATTCATCATTACACAAAATAGTAGCAATATTCATCTATCAATTATGTACTTATCCGTTTTCCAATAGTTAGCTTTAAAAATTACCTCAAAATTCTATATATTGTTGCTTGACATCATAAGACTAATATTCCACAGATATGTGTCATTATTGAGTATCATGCATTTTTTTTTTACAAAAAACCAGCAGACTTACATAAATAGAGCTAACACAACTTCAATAGTTTGACATCAAAGCGTCACCCCAGTTTTCATTAATGAATATTCTAATTGCCTCTCAACCATTTTTATCAATATTTTTTTATGTAAAATTTCTGTTAATTCCATAATTTCCATAATATCATATAGTTTAAATATCCATTCTTTTAAGTTTGGTATTTTCTTAGATTTTCATCTCTGGGTGTATAATATTCTAGCCATTGTGGTCAAGTGAAATAATATTTTACCATATTTTGTGTCAATTTCATCCTCAAACAAACTAAGAAGCATATATTCTTGTTTCAGTGCCAAATCTATTTTTACTATTTTATTTATTGTTTAAGTGATTTGGGACCACAATCTTTTAGCCTTTTTACAAGACCACACAATGTAGATATGTACTTGGAGACTCATGACATTTCCAACATAGATTATCTTTTTTCTCGTAAATTTTTGTAATCTTTGTTGGTGTAAGATGCCACCTAAAAAAATCTTGTACCACTTCTCCTTCATGTTTTGCACTTTTGTATATTTTAGACCTTTATTCCAAATTTTTTCCTATTGATTTAAGTAAATCGGTTACTCCACATCTTTCACCCACTTCATCATATTTTCCTTCATAATTTCATCTTCAGTTTCCCAACTAAGTAGTAAATCATAAGTTCTTCCCATTAATCCTTTTTTCCCCTTTTCTAGACTTCTTCCATTTCTGATATTTTATCCCATTCACTCATAACCTTTACATCTTGTTTAGCTCTTTCATACAGTTGCCTATATGCAAACCAATTTGGTACTATACCCTTGTTTGTAAGTTCTTGTTGTGTTTTGATCCTTAATTTTCCTCCTTCCTTCACCAGCAAATTGTGATATTTAAGCCAATCATCCTCCTGTGCCATTTATCTTCTGTAAAACACTTCATGGGGGGAGATCCATCCCGCTAAACCAACAACTATTCTTTTTTTATATTTATTCCATATATGAAGGAAAAGTCCTCTAATGCAATGGCTATTTATCTGTTTGTTGGAGTTTTCGTTATTATAGATTAAATACTCACGGAATCCAAATTTTAGTCCTTCACCTTCTAAATTGAGAAGTTTCTGCTCAGTGAGATCTACCCAAGCTGTATAACTTTAGAAGTGGGGGCAAAACTCCAGGTTCACCTCAAGGGTCAAGTCCTTCCCTACCTCAGAGCTATGGGAACCCTAGCAAGATGGTCCCAGAGCTCTACCTACACCACAAGGGTGTATGCCAATCTCTTCCATTCTCCTCATTCTCCATTCTACCTGCCATGGACAAGGAACAGGCATCCGCCTAGTCCCTTTACCCTACCAGGCCTGCCAATATGGCACTCACATATACATGCAGATCTTTCAGGAATACAAAATTACCTCATCAGAAAGGTGCATGCCATCTGCCCGGTAGAGCTCCTTGCAGCAGAACACAATTCCCAGATGTGGGATAAAATGACCCAACCCCTCACCCATGGCTTTGCTCATTGTCCAGTTCACTTTCCTCCATGCCAAGTCAATAGCACACAGGTTCCCTTTGCCCCTCCAACATTGCCAGGGCAGAATTGCTGACCACACCAAACCCACCATGCAGCTTGCATGCTACAAAGGTCGTGAAGGGCCTGTACCACCAGGGCCTGGCCTTTCATCAAGCCCAGATCATTCCTTCTCCCAGTGAATGACCAACACATTGGGTGGATGTCCTGTGCATTCCTTGAAGAGCAGTGGCCGGAGTCCATTCCATTTCAGTCCCCTTTTACCAAGCCATTCCACCATGGCAAACTCACTTAAACCCAACTATGTGCCAGTAGACCATGTTGTGGTCACCAATCAAAACTCTCTGCCTTCCTCTTCTGCACCTGAAATCTTTTCAGAAACTGGAAAGTGATTAAAAGGATGCACATGCCTCTTAAAGACAGTGGATCTCCAGCAGCTGATTTGCTGTTTGGACTGCAGCTGTAGCCCCATTGCAGCTGCAGTGGAAGTGGCCCCAATGTGGAAAGAGTGCATGCCAAAGCAGGCTCTGGGCAGTCCCAACCTGCTCAATCCCTGTGATGTTATCCTCCAAAAAGGATATTTGGTTAGAGGGGAAAGATCAACATGACAGAAGAGGTGTCCTGGGTGTGCCCCTCTAAGCTTAATATAGGATGAGGATATCCCATTAAAGAATATTAAAAATTTCTTCCAGACCATCAAAACCTCTTGAATCCCCTGAGTCAGCCTGATCCTGTGATGGGGCTTGCGTGCACCTTCCATGGCTCGATAGTGCCATTGCAAAAATGCCCTCCCTGGGGCCACCACCCTGCATGCAAAATTTAAATGGCCTATGATTTCTTGAAACTCCCTGAGAGTGGCTTTATTGTGCATGACAAAGGATGATACCCTACTAGTTAATTCTGTCAGTTTCACTAATGGTGTTGATTTCAATACTGAGAAAAACTAATGATGTGGAAGGGACCTCAGTTTTTTCATGTGCTACTGGGAAACCCAGATCTTTTGATAAGGAAAGGAATTCAGCCATTAAATGGGCCCAATCTCCTGATCCAGGCCTACCCACAAACAAAACGTCATCCAAATAATGGAAGACGTCCCATGGGTGGACCTGACCTTAAGGACCCAATTGAGAAAGGTGCTGAACCTTTCAAAGGCTGCACATGAGATGGAGCATCCCATGGGGAGGAAGCGGCCCATATAAAAATTACCTTCAAAGGCAAAACCCAACAGTTCAAAGTCATCTGGGTGGACTGGGAGCAGGCGAAACACACATTTCATGTCTCGTTTCACGAGCTCCGCTCCAATCTCCATCTTTTGAACCAACTGTACTGCTGTATCTAAGAATGTATACCACACTGCATATCTCCACTGGGATAGCATCATTGACTGACTCCCCTTTGAGGTATGATAGAAGGTGAATTATTCTATATTCCCTAGGCACTTTTTTGGGATGGCCCCTAGTGGAGATACCCTGAGACTGGAAAGGGGCATGGAGGTAAAAGGCCAATGACTTCTTCCACCTTCTTACTTATTTTGTCCCTAACTACAGATTCAAAGCCAGCCGCTGCTTGCTGGCCATAAATCAGGCTTGAAATTCCAGCTTGTCCGCTTCCAGCCCCTTTGTTCCCGCTCAGCGGCCCACCTGAGCAGTCAAAGATGAGAGGAAGGAAAAATAAACTGCTGCCTTTAAAATCCCAGGCTTGCTTTCAGAGTTCGATGGAGTTCGAAACCATTCTCTGCTACCACTTGTTGAATTGTGATGATGATAAATGTACAGCTGCTTTTCCAGGACACTGTCTCTTTAAAATGCAGCCTTAAAACC